GCTACTTGGAGCGAGACAATCACTAACATCAGGTCAGTGACGTTGGATAGAAACTCTACCGCTTCTATGAGTAACCTCTTCTGGTGCTGCACTGTTCGTGTAATGAAGAATATTTTCCTAATGACCAATATGAACCTTCTGAGGGGCACTTTTGGGCCATGGTCCCTTCTATATCATCTGCCGTTGCTGGGTAGAGTTTGATTACATCATCTTTGTAGCTCCATTTATTTGCGGGCTCCCAGCAGATCCCCCTTAGGCTCCTCTTTGCCAACATAAGCAAACCAAGCTCCCTCAGCCTGTCCTCTAGGACTGTAACCATCATGGTAGCCCTGCACTGGATTCTCTCCAGTTTCTCAACATCCTTCTTGAACTGGAGGCCCAAAACATAATTCAAGATGAGGGCTCACAAGCACTGAGTAGAGGTGGGTAATGACTTTCCTGGATCTGCTGACCACATTCCTCCTAATGTAGCCAGTGCACTGTTTACATTGTTTGTGATGAGAGAACTTTATTAAACAACTCAGCAGCCACCGTAGCCTCCAGATCCTTTTCAGCAGGCCTGAAACATTGCAAGTTCCTTTCCTGTGTGCACTGATGCATTGGACTTTTTTCTCCTCAGATGCAAAATTCTGCACTTATTGCAGTTTTTAAAGCAGAAACCTCAAAAACATTTCTTTTGCCTAGTTTTCCAGTGCCTCATCGTGTTTCTGAATTGAAGTTCTACCAATCAGCACTGCAGTCACACCTCCCTATTTTGCATCATCTGAAAATCTACTGAGTGTAAATTTTGTCTCCTCATATAGGCTGTTGATGAAGATACTGAACAGTATCTTCGTAGCAGTACATTGGTTACTGTGCTCATTTCCAGGCACATTGACTCTGTTCTTCGAGCTTAGGGGTCTGACCAGTTTTCAGCCCACCTACAGTCCTTTTGTTTATCCCATACTTTGTCATATTATAGATGATCACACTTTTGGAAATAAGTGTCAAAAGCCTAACTAAAGTAAAAACATATTTCATTCACTCCTCTCCGTCATCTGCATGGCCAGTCATTTCATCAGTTCAGGCAACCAGATTAGTAAATTCTTGTTGACTTTTCTTGATTATTGTCTTGTCCTTTACATGTTGGAAATTGATTCCAAGAGGACATGCTCCACGATTTTTCCAAGAGCTATGGTGAGGCCAAGCATTGTATAGTTTCTTAGATCCTTCTTGCTTTTCTTGAATATGGATGTATTCTCCAGTCATCATATATGTCCTGTAATAGCAGTGATTTTTCACAGATGGTAACCAGTGGTGTTGCAATCACATCATCAGCTTTTTCAGCACCCATGGGTGTATCCCAAGTGGCCCCATGTGTTTGAATGCATACTACTCCAGGTATTCACTAGCCTATTGCCCCCCTGACTCTTAGACATCCCTCTCCTTCCCAAACTGTAGGTGCAGAAATCTGGGAGCAGACTTGGCCTAACAAGTGAGAGACAAAAATGGAATTGAGTGCTGTAACCTTTTCTGTATTATCTATCATTATCTATCTTACCTCCCATAGTAATCAGTAGACCTACATTTTCTTTTAACCTCCTTTTGCTGCTCATACTTATAAAGTTCCTTCTTGTTACCCTTTAATGTCTTTCATTAATTTTAGCTCCAGCTGGGTTTTGTTCTCTCTTGATTTGTTCCTGTGCCCAAACAATGATTGTGTGCTTGTCCTTTGTTTCTTGTCATTGTTTCCACATATGTGCTCTCCATTTTCACCATTTCTATCTCCATATGTGCTTTTCCCATTTTAAGAAGCTCCTTACTCAGCCAAATGCACCCTCTGCATACCTTGTCTGTATGTGCTGCTTCCTCATGTATTTCTGGGTTAGGTCCCCATTCTGTGACAAAGTCCTCCCCACTGTATTAGCTAGTCTGTTCACAAAGATGTTATTCCCTCTCTTTGCCAGGTATACCCATTCTCTAAGTTGTCTTTCCTCATCAAATTGGGTGTCACAACCAAAATAGTTGACGCCCAGCTAGTGCCACCAAGTATGTAGTCATATGTCTGTATGTAGTCACATATCTGCTGCTATCCAGGCTTCTCCCTTTTTGCCATAGAATTAAAGAGAAACACCACCAGGATTCCTGTCCCCTTTGCCCTTTCTCAGGAGCCCTACAGTCACTTTTGAAGTGAAATGCTTTCACATCACCATGTCATTGGTGTATGTATGAATAATAAGAAAAAAACATCAGAACATTAGGTGACCACCAGTCTTTCAGCAACACCACAAGTTGTGGCTCCATGCAATCAAGAACCCTCCTTATCTGATGAGTCTGACCAGAAGAGAGGCACCAACCACTTTGTCACTCATCACTTTCTCTTGGTAGCACTCTGATATGGTGTCCAACCTGGATTCTTCCACTGAAGGAGCTTGTTCTTCCCCTCTGTGGCCTGGGTCCTGCACCACTGGGCAGCTCTCCTGTTGCCAGAAGTCACAAACTTCCAGTTTCCACCTTCTTAGGAATGCATGTCTTAGGAGTGCGTGTCTTGCCTCAGTTGCACTTTCCCTGTCTATTGCATAAACTTTTACACCTTGAAAGATCCTGTCAGTCATCCGTTTGTCACCCTGATGCAATAAAATACACTTGCCTCTTCTTGCAGCTCTTCAGTTGCTGCTGTGGCAACTGCAACAGAGCAAGTCTTCCTCCAGGGAGGTCACCCTCAGGGGTCCATCTGCACAGAGGTTGCCACAGCGCTGCCAGTGACAGCAGGGACAGTGATTATGTCTTATAGCAAGTCGTCACAATTTGTTGCCTTCTTATGCAAATGGCACATCTGAGTCTCGGATGTCAAATGCCAAGGTAACTGTCTTGCACATCCCACTGGCAGCACTCCTTGATGCCCTTCCTGAGGGTGCCAGGTAAGTCAGGAACTCCAAGGGAATTGACTCAGCCTTGTGCAAGATTTCCCAGTTGACAGGAAGCCTCTTGCGCTGTCTGTGAGTTCCCAGCCACAGCCCTCGTTTGTGTGTGCTGCATCTGCCGAAAGTTTCTGCTCCCCATGCTGGATCCTAACAAGCTGAAAGACCAGTGGATGTAGTTTACTCAGAACTGGTCTTATGTGCCAAATGAAGAGGTATTGTTGTACAGTTGAAAAGGTTAGCTTCAGAATCTCCCCAAGTGGATAGAGCTGTCCAAAAGCATTTGAAAATCAATTTACTGCGGTTCTAATCCATGAATAAGAAAAAACAGTGTTGGAAATATTTATTACCAGAAGTTAGGTTTGCTTATTCACTTATAGGAGATAAACTGGGTTTCAATTACTGGCTAATGATTTTAGAATTTCATTATGTTATTTTATAGTAAAATACTCAAATATTGTTGTCTTTCCCTATCTTACAGCTGCACTTGCTGTGCACTGGCAATTTAAACTTTATGGTAGATTATTTCTTGCAATCATTAGCTGTATGTACTAGGAAAAGGTCTTCTGCAGGGACGTTGCTTGAACAGAAATAGCAATGCTGATAGCCTGTATTGGCTGTGACAGAACTGCAGACTTTGAAGGAGATTAGTCTTTCAGCAACTCTACATCGGGAATATAAAATCAACCTCTTTGAGTCTTAAGTGGTCAAAGTATAACGTTAAGTAGAATAAGGTGAGAGTATATTAATTTAAGGATAAACAGCAAAGAAAAAATGTTTAATATCTGTAGACTATAGTGTGGAAAAAAGTGTGTAGGGAAGAAGTGATATTGGTAGATCTTGCAAAATACTACTGTTAAATTTTTTTTTATTTATCAATTGCTTTTGGATATATGCTATATTAGTGCAGTTTCCTTTCCTTGTCTCTGACTCAGTTTCTGATGGAGATTAAAATTGTGATTGATTTATTCAATATTCACCTCTTTATTCTAGGTGATCAGTTTGGGATTTATTTCATTTTGAAATATAGTTCATACAGTCATGTTCAACAATCTCCCATCCAACAAGAGTATGATAGAACTGCAAAACTCCTAAGAAAAACAAAAAGCTAAAAAGTTACTTTATCTGCTTGATTTCAATTGCATACTTAAACAAACTGCTTATATTGTACGTGACTAAGCTTTGAAGGAATTTTTCTAAAGAAGTGGTGAACTTTCTCTGCAGTGTGGTCTTCAGAGTCAAGGCTGGATGCATTTGTAAACTGGCAAGGAAAGGAGTTCAAAGAGAAATTCTTAGCTGAGGTATTTCCCATTGCTTATACAAGGCATGTGGCTAGATAATAATGCTTCTCCTGGGCCTTAAAATCAAGAATCTGTTTTTTAAACTCATATTTTAAATTACGCTTGATGCATATTTGTTAAACATAATTTAATAATTTAGAGTAACTGCTTTATAGTATGTGAGTTGAAAACAGTTTTCACATAAATATTACCTAAGACACTGTGTGGAATTGCAGTTGGCTGGGCAGTTTTTTTATGCAGATAGAGAATGATGTATTACACAAATAAATATGCCAAAGTATGTGGCAGTAATGCATCCTTGAGGTATGGTATTAGGTCTCATGAAATACATGCCTTGAAATATAAAAAACAAATTTTTCTGAGGTTTCAAAGGAGTTGCTGTGGAAATTACTCTTTCAGAAATGAGAATTTTTCTTATTTGGTGAGTTTTTTCTGCCATTGGTGTGGTACTGTGTTTGCACAAGCAAAACCACATAGCTCATCTGCAAAAGAAATATGAATTGTTAACTTTTCTTGGATCAATATAGGCAGATTTTTATTAGACTCTTTAGAAAGTAAAAGGGTAGTATTAATAAACACTGAAACATTAAAACCAAACCCTATTTCCATGAAATGACAAAAGAATAAATATGATTTGAAGGTGATTCTCTTTATTTCCAAAATTTTCTCAGGAACAAAGAAACAGGGAAAATTAGAAGATGTCCTATCTAGATGACCTAGCATGTCAAGGGTTAGCTTACCAGTTTTACTGTGTATCATAAAAAGGTGGTTTTTAATGCTAATAACCTCTTAATTGCAGGAGGAGGAATTGGAGGCCCAGATTTCATTTCTACAAGGACAACTAAACGACTTGGAAGCCATGTGCAAATATTGTGCAAAGATGATGAACACACATCTTGGTAAGCGCAGTACCCTGTGTTAACCTGTAAATCTTTACAAAGGCTCTTTTCATGTTTTTATTAGAACTAAAATAATATTTATGTAGTACAGTGAATATTATTTTACAAACCATGAAGATTGAATTGATGTACCCAGTTCTATCAGATTCTGCCAACCACTGTATCATTATACTGTCGTATTTTTAAATTTGGGATCATGATAGCCATTGATGATGCAAAAAAAAAAAGTAGGGGCATTTTGTTACAGATGCCTTTTGACTGTTCCTAAGATTTCTTGTAAGAGACATGCTGGAGTTCACAGGATGTGAGCTTACACTTTTTAAGCCTGTTTGCAGTTCAACAGTCCCAGAACGATACTTGATGCATGCAGTGATGGTTGTATAAAATTCATAGGCTTTCATTAAATGTAGCATTTTCACAATCTATGCTGATCAACTTCAGTATGTAAAAATGTGTTTCTGTAGGCTGTCTAGTTTGTAATATTTTGCTCAGACCAGGAGAAATACAGTAAGACATCAGTCAGTACATCGGGAACAGAATCAGCAAAGACTCCAATCTAAAATTCAACTTATACATTGCCAAGACAAATCAGAGAAAGTAAACCAAAAGCTTCAATCAATTCAGGTGTAAATATACTTAGCTATGCTTCAATAAAAGCAGGATTTTTAAACTGTGTTGAACTAAACTCCAAAAGTTAGTATATTTAGTTATGTGAAAAAGCACTGTTTGTAAGAAACCAGGGCACAACTGTAGTAATTTTAAGGTTTATTTATAGCCTGAAACATCTAAGCAAATCTAATTAAATTTTAATATTTCAGTGGATAGAACTAAATACATGATAGCTAGGTTTGCCAGATCAAAAAGATCAGATGTGAAAGCCGTATTATACTTGTATTTTCATTTTATTTTATGTGAGTGTTTTAGTAGCTGCTGTTATGAGCCTAGGACAAGCTATAAATACAGTGTTATTTGAAAGTTTGGAATCACAGCCTTTGAAAGCCAAGTGTAAAAGCCCAACAGTTTTAGTCTGATATATTGTATTGCTTCTGTGAGGGTACATGAACAATAATGAGACTAGAAGCAAGCAAAAGGGATAAATTATTAGCTACTGAAATGATGGGGGAAATATTTCTGTGTCAAGAAGAAAAGCTGAAGTTTCTTTCCTTTAGGAAAGAAGACAAGAAATGTTTAGCAGGGATATCAGTTCGGGTACAAGCATAAGCATTTCAACAGTTATGGCTCTGGACTAGAGATAGAATAAACCCAAACAGAGATATTTGAAGTAATCTGCCTTTCGGCACTGGATCCATAAAATGAAAGCAAAAGATTTGTGGTAATATCCAGGTGTTAAGTTCTTTTTTCCAAATACATTAGAAATTAAAACATTTAGGGCCAGTAGTCTCCCAAGAGCACCATGGAGCAGTTTGTTTTCCTCTCAGGTCAGGGAAAGCCATCCCCTACAGAGCTTTGGCTGCAGGGGTGCACCGGGTGCATCCTGGCACCCCTGCAGTGCTCTTCAGAGCCTTCCAGCCTCGTTTCCTCGAAGTCCTATCCCTGTACTTCTTCACGATATTCCTGCATGTCTTGTGAACATCAGGGGCTGCTGACTTTGTAAATCTGGGTTACACTAATGCATTTAAATCCTGTAGAGGTTGTTAACATGCGATAAACAGAGCACGAGACTGAGATACCACCAACCTTCACAGCTTCTGCACTTGTAGCAAACTGATGAGGTTAGGTCTCCCGAAATCAGCCAGCAAATGATCCATGGGAAGGCAGGAAAAAAAACACCAGGATTCTTTCTGGTCTGACCTGTGCAAAATCCTTTCTGACCTGAAATCTGTGCATCAAGTTTGTCCTGGTGGTCTGAGCAGCACATGCCAGCAGGCTGTCCAAGAAAATGGATTCTCTATAAGCATCATATGATAGAACGTGCCATGAGGATTATCTCCAGTGTCCATCCGCTGCTTAGGGCTTCTGGGAATGGCAGCAAAACAAAACTCAGAGCATAACAGGTAATTTCTATGTTAAGGGAAAAGTTAACCCCTGGTCTGATTCTCCTCCAGGCATCTCTTACACATGAAAATTGTTCATTTCAGAGATCGCAGAACCTGTAATCTGTCAGGACACTTCAAGGCTATTACTTCTTCCTCCGAGGCTGAATTTTTCCGACTTTTATCACCCAGCTTTTGGCTTTTGCAGCATTCTTGATAGCAAGGTTGAAAATCCTCATTTAACAACTATATGCAGTGACACTGTCTTGCTAGGTAGAACACTTTCAGATTGATTTTGTAGGGGTTGCTTTTTAAACCAAATAATTTTTGTGGTCTTCCTGTGAATTCTTCGGGGTTTTCACATGCCTTTTGAAGTGGGTTAATCAGATTAGGATATACTGTACCAGCACTGGGCTCAGCAAATTGGTTACTTAGGAAAGGGAAGGTCATCTCTTTACCCTTATGCGGCATTCCTCTTTTTAAACGTTTCTAATGCAGCATCACATTAGTGCTCTTTGATACAGTGATAGGTTGCGGTGATAATCCATTATGACCTTTAAAATTTGGTGGATCACAGCTTTCTAAACAGAGGATTTTATCCTGTAGGTAAAGTTAGGAAATGTTTATTTCCATATGTGTTCCTTGCATTCAATTATATTAAAATTCATTTCTTGTCATTTGGCTTTTTAGCTGAATAATTCAGGTAACTACAATGTACTCTGTTTTCTGCTACCACTCTAACTGCAGACTTAGCCATCATACATTTACTAGTTGTCTAAATTATTGATAAAAACATACGGATATATAAAATTTGAGGAGCCTTACAGAACTATTTCCTTTAACAAAGAGTTAGACAACATTTTTAAGAATTATCAATAAGTCAGTTTTTTAGTCTAAGCCTTTTAAATTTGATAAAGTTTAAGGTTCTTATTTTTAAAAAACCCACATTTTTTTATATTGACATTTTAAACAGTTGTTTTCAGACTTTATTATTCTTTTTCCTGTATTGACTGCATTATATTTACACGTCACAATACTAATTCAAGCTTATAAAAATGCATTTCCAGTGACCATTCACCACAGAATTATTTAATTAGCACTATAAATCAGAATGTCAAACAATTATAGAATGTTATTTCCCTTACAGGGAGAATTCTAATGACAGTCAGAGGCAGTTACTTCATGAGAGATATCATGTGTGTTGTGGCTGAGAAATTATTAAAATGACCACAAAGTCATCTATTCTGTTTTGAATCCCTAATCATTTATAATCTATTAATATCAAATCCAATTATACCAAGTATATTTTTATATGATATCTTGTTAAAATAAAAAATTGCCAATTTGCCCTATAATGATATTACATTTCTGTACTAAGACCATTGTATTTCTATAGGTTTCAGCAGATATCTGCTAGTACTGCATTTTGTTTGCATAGAGTGCAAGGAAAGACCAGAGGGATAGAAGGACAGTTTTTATTTTGTTCATATATTCAATGATGCTTTCATTAAATGTTTATCTCCTTCCGTAAATAAACCACACAGTGTACCACACAGCAACGACATAATTAACTGCTTGTAATATCAGAGGATGTTACCATGGGAATGAATGATGGTTCCGAAATATTACTACTTAGTGCTATGTGTAGAAATTAGAAATAGGTTTTTGATTATGAAAATGCAGAAAAGCTGTTCTGTGATCTTTGTCTCCTTATTAGGGCTGTGCATTAGGAAGAGCTTTAAGAACTGCTAAGACGGAATGCCTTTTAATGCCTCTGAGGACAAATGTTAAAATTTTTATATGTAAAAAGGACAGATAGGAAGACAGATTTTACTTCTGTTCCCACCCTTTTTCACAAGCTTGTCGTGGCTTTCAAAAAAAAAAAAACAACAAACTGTGTTCAATTTTTCCATTAATGAAATGAAGATACATCCAATCTTGTAAGCTTGTCCTGTGGCTTTGTTCGCAATATAAATGCAGAATATTACTCAGCTTATAGTGAAAAAGTGTAGCTGCCATAGCTATTACGGCTCCAGCATCATCACAGATACATTTTCTTGATGTTATTTTTTCACATACACTGGCCTTTTTCGGGAAATAATATTGTCCCTTGTGCATTCAGTAATGTTCTTCAGCATTTTTCTTCCTGAGGTACTTTTCTGTTAGTGCACATAAGTACCTCAAGGCTCAGTGATTCAGAAAGCCATAATATACCAGTTAAGTATTACCATATTATAACCTGTCATAATGTTATTTACTTTTCGAAGAGTTTTGATTGTTTCCTCAGTTCCGTTCTTGCAATATATGTAAAGAAAAGCGTCAAGCTAGCAAGTGCATTCAAAAGAATATTTTCCCTGGTGAATGTGGTCTCTGAATAATCTGTCTAAGAGACCCGCACTCAAATGTTACACAGAAGCCCCCACAGTATCTGCTGGAAGGCTCCTCACTTGTCCTTCACATATGACATGGAACTGAGTTTGAGGTGTTAGTTCAACATGAAGTCCATCTGGAGGGTCTCAAAGAGCAAAGCTTCATTACATCCCATGCTCAAGCCAACACAGCACTGTTAAATGGCAGGTCAAGTGACACCAGTTAATGACACTGCCATCTGACACCATCTGCTATTCTAGTATCTTTAAGGTTTAGACCATGTCAGCACTGGCCCAGGATTAAAGCACAGACTCTTAACAAAAAATAAATTAAGACCCTGGAGAAGTATCAGTCTTCCATGGGCAAGTACTAATGTGAGAGATTGTGAAGGATGTTTATGAGCTTGCCAGTTTTGTTCCAGAGAGAAAAGTGCTGAATTTTAAAATGTCATCTGTTTATAAAGGACAGGAACCAATCCATCACTGTTCTGTAAGACAGAAGAACCTACCATTTGTTTCCAAGAGAGATATAGTTTCAGACCTCCAAGTGTGTGAAAGTTTACCAAATAATTACACATGTAGTACAAGAAGCCCTTTTCATGGGAGGCAATTTAAAGGAACATTGGTTCAGTATTAA